GCGGCAGCCAATGGCAAGTTCGCCATAAAGCATGATCTTAGGGAGGCAGTAATCCTTCATCCTTGAGACGTGTCCTGCCAATTGCAGCTGTATTCTCAGCAACATGGTCTCAATACTTGTGACTGCTGCTTGTTCTAGAACAGATGTATTGGTCACATAATCTGACCAGTGGATGTTTAGGATTGTACGGAGACAGCGTTGATGGAAGCATTCTAAGAGTCGCAGGTGGTGGCAGTAGATGACCCATGATTCGGATCCATATAAAAGAGTAGACAGCACAATGACTCCGTAAACACTGATCTTGGTACTTTTCTTCAAGTGTTTATTTCGCCATACTCTTTTATGGAGTTTTCCGAAAGCACTGTATGCCTTTGCTAACCTGTTGTCTATCTCTCCGTCAATCTTACCATCCGAGGAGATGAGGCTACCTAGGTAATTAAACTGCTGGACTGATTTGAGCTCTGATTGGCCAGTGGTGATATGGGGATGATGGAGGACTTCCTGAGGTGCAGGTTGATAGAGAACTGTCTTCTTTAAACTGACTTCCAGCCCAAAGAGCTCAGCAGTGTCTGCAAAGCAGGATGTTAAACGCTGCAGAGCTACTTCTGTGTGGGTGACAAGGGCGGAGTCATCACCATAAAGCAGCTCCCGGACAAGATGATTTAAGGTCTTAGTGTGGCCCTTCAGTCACCTTAGGTTGAATAGGCTTCCATCAGTACGATATCGAATGTAGATACCATCCTGATCATCGAGGTCTGCCGTGGCCCTTTGGAGCATCATGCTGAAAAAGATTGTGAATAGGGTTGGTGCAAGAACGCAGCCTTGTTTCACACCACTGGTTATTAGGAAGGGTTCAGAAAGTGCATCGCCATATCTGACTTGGCCGTGCTGATCCTCATGAAGTGAGATGATCATTTTAAGGAACTTGGGGGGACATCCTAAATGTTCCAAAATCTGCCATAGACCTTTTCTGCTCACAGTATCGAAAGCCTTGGTGAGATCAACAAAGGTTACATAGAGACCTTTGTTCTGTTCCCTACACTTCTCTTGCAGTTGTCTGAGAACAAATACCATGTCTGTGGTACTCCTGTTGGCTCTGAAACCACATTGGCTTTCAGGTAGAATTCCTTCTGCTACACCAGGTATTAGTCTGTTCAAAAATATTCTTGCCAGGATTTTGCCAGCAATGGAGAGCAGAGTAATACCACGGTAATTTGAACAGTCTGTTTTAACTCCTTTCTTCTTATACAAAATGATGATGACTGCATCTCGAAGGTCTGATGGTAGTTTGCCTAGTTCCCAACAGCGCACCACAAACTCGTGAAATTTAGCATGGAGTGCTTGACCCCCATGTTTCCAGATTTCAGGTGGAATTCCATCAAACCCAGCTGCCTTGCCAATTTTCACCTGCTGTATGGTCTTAAGGGTTTCTCCCAAAGTGGGGGCAATATCCAATTCATTCTTCACCGGTTGTTGTGAGATGGACTGAATTGCTGAGTCTTGAACTACACGGTTGGTACTGAAAAGAGTCTGAAAGTGTTCAGACCATCGATTCAGAATGGAGGTTTTATCTGTCAGAAGCGTTTGACCATCAGTGCTGAGTAGAGGGCTTTGGACCTGGTATGTAGGCCCGTATGCTGTTTTCAAGGCCTCATAGTATCCTCTGTGATCACCTGTATCGGTACATAATTGAGTTTTCTCAGCTAGATTGATCCACCACTTGTTCTGGATGTCACGGAGTTTCTGTTGGAACTTGCTGCATGCAAGATGAAAGGCTGCTTTTCTTACGTGACATGATGGCAGTGCAAGGTGTGCTTGGTGAGCAGATCTCTTCTTCCTCAACGATTCCTGGATCTCTTGATTGTTTTCATCAAACCAGTCCTTGTTCTTCTTGAAGAAGAACCCTAAGGATTCTTCAGAGGACTGCTGGATGCTGTTTTTAATATGGTGCCAAAGTGTTTCAGGACAGGGATCTATAGAATCTATGGAATGATTTTCAAACCTAGTTTGAAGATTTGCCTGGAATCTGTCTCTCACTGTGGCTGACTGGAGATTGTTAACTTGGAGTCTCCTCCTTGGGATACTGCCCCTTTTAGGTTTGGACTTAAGATTGAAGTTTACAGCGCACAAGTCGATGGTCTGTTTGGCATTCTGCACTAGGCATCATGCAGGTATGATGGACATCGTGGACATCTCTCTGTTGCACCAAGACGTAATCAATGAGGTGCCAATGCTTAGATCTAGGATGCATCCAGGTTGTCTTCAGACTATTTTTCTGCTGAAAGAGTATTAGTGATGGTGAACTGTTGCTCCGCACAGAATTCTAGCAGAAGGCGACCATTATCGTTGCAGTTTCCGACACCATGCTTGCCTAATACTCCTTTCCAGGCTTCAAAGTTCTTTCCTAGTCTGGCGTTGAAATCACCAAGGATAATGATCATATCATCTGCGGGCACCTTTTGGGTAAGGCAGCGCAGGTCAGTGTAAAATTTATCTTTTTGGGCAGGGTCAGCTTGGAGAGTTGGGGCATATATACTAAAGAGGACAACATGTTGCTTGTTGTTTAGTGGAAGGTGTAGGGAGATAATGCGGTCAGAATGACCTGTTGGCAGATTTTCGAGTTTGGGAACAATGGAGTTTTTAATCATGAAGCCAACTCCTGAAAGATGCCTTTCGGTTCTGGGTTTACCTGACCAAAGAGTGTGTAACCGACGCCGTGTTCTCTAAGGCTGCCTTCCTCGTGGAGACGAACTTCACTGAGAGCAGCAATGTCGATGTTGAGACGTGATAGTTCGTGGGCAATTAGGGCAGAACGATGCTCAGGGCGTCCACTATTTGCAGAATCAAGCATGGTTCTGATGTTCCAGCATGCTAGAGTCAGTTTAGGTGCACCTTTGGAGGCAGGTGTATGCCTTTGTCTTTTGATCTTTGTGTGACTGCATTAGTAGAAGATGCCCGTTGGCCACGGTTAACCAGTCGGGTGAAGGGGGAGATGAGCTTTGGTTAGACCACCTTTTCTAGGCCCCTCTCTGAGTGGAGCAAGCAGTGCTCTCCTTGAAAAAGGCTGCTTGGACATTCCGAATGCTGCCCAAAGAGACTGTCATCTCCGGTCAGTCTCTAACAACAGTGAACTAAGATAAGCTAAACTAAGATAAACTGCCCTGCCCTGCCCTGCCCTGCCGCATTTTGTTCGCCTGAACTCCCTGGAGCCGTTTAAGTCTGTCGCTGGGTTCCCTGGTAACGCCCATGTCATTTCAGCCTCACGCACCGGTTCCTAACTCGTCTCTCGGCATTTGCCCAGGTTTCCTTGACTCTGAAAAACTCCTGCCCTTCTCTTTCTAGTGCTCGGCCCCCAGAATTTACCATAGTCACTGCTGCTGTTGCTTGTTTCGCTGCTGTCGCCACTTACCTCACCTTCTGACTTCCTCAAGTCTACCCAAAGATAAAAAAACCCACCTTATCTGTTGCTGTAGTGTTATTTTTCAGCATGAGAAATACCACATGAATACAAATAAGAACAATCTTGTCAAATTTACTTAAAAGTTTAGGACAAGTCACCTTTATTTGAAGTGTAACTGTGAAAAACAGTAAATGTTCCATTGTTGCAACTTCCTAAGTATTTATTTAAGAGATAATTCAAGAGTAAGATGTCAGTAAGATCTCTTTGAAAAGTTTTGAGTTGCCTCTAATATTTGTAGAAACAAAGATGCAGCCTGTATTTCCTGAGTGGTAGTCTTTGCCTTAAAAAAAATTAGTAGTTAACAGTTTCTGCTGTACAGTATACTGAGACAATGTAAATAATTGTCTAAAGAGGCAGTAATTAGAAGTGTGTGTGTATGGGGCATCACAAGAATAGGAATCTCTGGTGGAAGGCAAGTGAGAGATCTTCATAGGGTATAGCCAGGTCTTCAGTACTAGTGATTGAGTGTGGTATCTAATTTGAGGAGGGGAAATGGAGTAGTGGAAAGATCTTGGGAATCAGGATGAGTCAAAACAGGGCTTCCCAACATTGTGGATTTTATTGGCAGAATATAGAATTGTTCCTGATAGTCAAGAAAGGGTAAGATAAACCCATTTCATGTCCTGCTCTCTACATACAGAAGTATCCTTTTTTAAGACAAAAATTATAGCTCAGAATTATAACTGGGACAGGTTGAAAAGCTTTTCTGTTTTTCTAAGCTTTCTCTGGGCTAACAGTTATGGGGAGCTGGTTTAATTTGAGGAACAAAAAATGTCATGTGATTAATTGGAGAATGCTTTTAATAAAAAATGTTGTCTTTTAAAAATTTCCCTAGATGTACTCAAAGCCTGAAATGAGTGCATGTAGAAGTAAAAATTCATATGTTAAAAAAAAATAGAAAAAAAAGAGTGGAGATAAGGCAGGGAACAATAGAAAAAAGCTCTAAGACAATTAGTGGTTTTTAGATAGTAATGAGTGGGGGAGGTTGGAATGAGTTTACCTAAAATTTAAAAAGAGCCCCAAAAATCCAGAAGTTGAAAATTAACTGTCAGAATCAAAGTTAAGGAGGTTGTTTATGTTTTCATTTTTTAATATATATATTTTTGGTTACTTAAAAATGTGTGACTGAAATGGCTAATGCCTATACACTGATCAGTAAGCCTTCATCACTGGACCTTATTGAGAATCTTTTTGGTATTTCCTTTTTCTGTAGCTAACGTACTTTCATTGACTATTTTCTAATAGTTGATATTCTGAACCTGCAGGTAATATTTTTTTTATGGTGTGTTTTTTGTTTCATCTTCTCTGAAATGATCCCTTCTCTACCTGCAGTGGACTGCTAAAATTCCTAGGAAATGCACTGCAATTATCTGAATTACATCTTGATCTAGGAATGATGTGCTTCCTACCAATCTCAGACTTTTTGTGAACAGAGATATATGTACAAATACATATTGAAATGATGTAGGTTATATTTAGTGTGGTTTTATATAAACATGTAACAATATAACTGTTCAGTTTTTCTGAATTATTATTCTAGGATCAAGACAACCTTTAATCCAACAATCTCAACCTCCACCTTATTCATCACCTAGAGATGTTCCCCCAGACATATTGTTAGACTCTCCAGAAAGAAAGCAAAAGAAACAAAAGAAAATGAAGTTAGGCAAGGATGAAAAAGACCAGACTGAAAAAGCTGCAATGTATGATATCATTAGTTCTCCTTCCAAGGACTCCACTAAGCTTACATTAAGACTGTCTCGTGTAAGATCTTCGGATATGGACCAGCAGGATGATATGCTTTCTGGTTTGGAAAACAGCAATGTGTCAGAGGGTGATATTCCTTTTAATGTGCAGTACCCAGGACAGACTTCTAAAACACCCGTTACGCCACAGGATGTTAACCGCCCATTAAACTCTGTTCAGTGTTTGCTGCAGCATGAACAGACAGCGTTCCTTCAGGCACAACAAGTGCCTGTTTTACAACAGAACACTTCAGTTGCTGCAAAACAACCTCAAACTCCTGTGGTACAGACACAGCAACAGGTTTCGCAACAAGGAGCTATATCGTCATATGATGAAGTAGAATTGGATGCATTGGCTGAAATTGAGCGGATAGAACGCGAATCAGCTATTGAAAGGGAGCGATTTTCAAAAGAAGTGCAAGATAAAGGTAAAAGGATTGTGTGTGTGTATACACTATATATATTATAAAAGTGTATATATATGCATATAGACCCCATATATATATATAAAGCCTTCCTGTCATTGTCACACAGTACAATTGTGTTTACTCAGTGTAGGAAGTTCTATGACATTCATCACCATTCCCCTTAAACAATGAATTATAATCTCTCATATATACATTTTTTAAATATCTAGCATTCTTTATTTGGGATCTTAATGGACGGAAAGGGAAGTTCTTATGTTTCAAAATTCTTTTTAAGCTACCCTTATTTTGAAGCGTGAGACTGAATGAAATACCATTGGCATTGTTTATAGTTTCTAAAATCCCATCAGTACCATAAGTAAAAATTTGTAATGTTTTGATAGTTTAACTATTAATTTACTACGTTGCCTAACTTAAGAAAATACAGGAAAACTCTTTTATGCCATTTCTATTCATATCCCAATTTGAAGCTTATGTGAAGGAAGTATTAGACTAAAATCATATCTACTCTTTTAAAGGCACTGTAACGATTGGATAATATATACTACTGTATTGTCTCTAATGTTTGTTCAACTGGATATTCATTATAATGTTGGCATTACAAGTTTCAGAGATCTACCATATATCTATACAGTCTCTAGCACAGAACCAGATAAACCTCTGAATTGTTTGCTCTTCAGTAGCATTACTGGTTGTCTTAACTGATTTCATTGATTCTATCCTCTGATTTTTTCTTTTCTTTTTTTTCTTTTCCAAAATTTTTCTCCATTTTCCTATTTTTCTTTTTCTTTCTTTTCCTCATTTTTTTGTTGTTAACTGGTTTGAAGGTCTTAGCCTTCAGAAATATCAAAAGTGGATGCAAAACCCACATGTAAATCTTGAAGATGTGTTTTTTAAAGTAGATAGTGATAGGTTAACATAAATATTTTTCAGAAGCTTCCTCTGTACTGTCTTTAACTCCTTCTAAAAAAAATTCTTTTATAGTATAATGCTAATTTGTTAGTGTAGTGGGTTGACCCTGGTTGGACGCCAGGTACCCACTAAAGCCGCTCTCTCACTCGCCTCTGCAACCGGACAGAGGAAAGTACAACGAAGGATCCATGAGTTAAGAGCTAGGAGAGGTCATTTACTGATCACCATCACTGGCAAAACAGACTCAAAGTGGGGATATTAATTGAATTTATTACTAACAGGATCAGAGCAAAAGAGTGAGAAGTAAAATAATCTTAAAAACACCTTCCCCCCACCCCTCCTTCCTTCCTTCCAAACTCTACCTCCTTTACCCCCCAGCAGTGCAGGGAGATGGGGAATGGGGTTTATGGTCAGTTGTTGTTTCTGCCACTGCTCAGAGAGAGGAGTCCTTCCCCCGCTCCTGTGGGGTTCCTCCCACGGGAGACAGTCCTTCACAGACCTCTCCAACATGAGTCCATCCCACAGGCAACAGTTCTTCCCAAACTGCTGTCTTGTGGATCGCTCCTCCATGGGGTGCAGTCCTTCATGAATGAGCTGTGCCGATGTGGGTCCCCCATGGGGGCCACAAATCCTACCCAGGAAAAACCTGCTCCATCTTGGGCCTCCCACAGGGTCACAGCCTCCTTCGGCATGCTCCAGCATGGGTTCCTCCATGGGCTGCAGGTGGGTCTCTGCACCCCAATGGTCCTCCATGGGCTGCAGGGGGACAGCCTTCCTCACCATGGTCTTCACCACGGGCTGCAGGGGCCTCAGCTCTGGTGCCCGGAGCACCTCCTCCCCATCCTTCTGCACTGGCCCTGGTGTCTACATTGTTGTTCCCATGTTCTCACTCCAGTCTTCCCTGCCTGGAATTTTTCACTGTGCAATAACTTTCTGTTCCTAAATATGTTATCAAAGAGGTGCTACTATCACTCCTGAATGGCTTGGCCTTGGCCAGCGGCAGGAAGCCCGTCCTGGAGCTGGTTGGCATTGGCTCCACCAGGCAGGGGAAGCTTCTAGCAGCTTCTAACAGAAGCCACCCCTGTAGCCCCCCTCACTACCAAAACCTAGCCACAGAAACCCACTACAGTTAGACACTCCCAATAAAAATTGGCAGAGTGGAAAACAGCACAAATTCTGATTTTAGAAGTTCATAGGTAAAAATAGTCTATTTTGGGCATACTTGAATGGAGGCAACTGAATTTACATCCGGTTTGGGTCTTTAACTAGCAGAGAGTAAACAAGTTTTCTCCCTATTCAAAGATAATTTTTTTTCTGTTTTTAAAGATGTCTGGAGATAGAGTGAGAGAGAGTATTTGTTGAATTTGTGTGTGTATAAATGTTCTTGTTGCAGTTATTAAAAGGATTAACTTTTTAGGTATTTCTTATTTGTTAGCTAAATCAAGTCTTGTTAGAAAACATTGTGAATATACAGAGAAAACAGGTGTTCACCTTAAAAGATATCTCTATTGCCTTTAATTTTGATTTAATGAAATGGTGGAATTGGTTACTTTGCTTACATTTCTACAAATTTTATTTACAGTGAGCTTGTGGTTTGTCTTCTACTACTTAAAAAGCTACTTTTATATTCCCATACTTTGAGTAGATTCTCCAGCACATTTTAGCTGAGAAGCATCTCAGAAAAATGCACTGTATTTTTGATGATGTACATCAGTCTTCACTTAGAGTGAGGCTAAAACACTCTTGTTCTGGCTTTCAGGAGATATTGAACATTAGTTGGGAAGTTTATTTACCATAATTACATAGCCATGGGCAGACTCTGATTTATTTCTTTTGGGGAAATAAGTGATTTTTATAGAATGTGATCTCTCACCACTGTTCAATATCCATATTACCAATTAAGGATTCCAACCTTATGGTTCCCTTCTACCTGCATCCTCTGGCAAGTCTCAGTTCTTCCTGAGTTCTTGCAATTGCTGTGGATCAGGTGCAAGAGTTGCTGCCTTATATTGGGCCAAATGATCACCATTTATTCACTGGTAGTAAGTTGCCCCTATGCCAGACAACAATTCTTTTCACTTTAGCTGCTGAGGTTTCAGCTATGAATTAATAGCATTGAGTAGAGGGATTTTTAGCAGTCTTGGGACAGATTTCCTGAAAAGCTGTTACCTTAAATATGATTCTTATTTTTTGGTAACACTTTTGCTATTGCTTGTAATTTTGTACTATGTCTACAAGTTGATACACTCTGGGATTGTTCTAGTTATAGTCATTTGGTTTGGTGTGACTGCAGGAGGAAGCTTCCTCTATTGTTCCTATGAGAATATGTTAGAAAAATATCCAGTAATTCCTAAATGTCATTCATTTTTGTGAAGTTGCTTACTGTATTTATGCAAAAGCCTGGCATTTGTGCATTTTAGTACATCTACTCTAACTTCAGATCACATTATATTAAGAAAAGAGCGTGCTTGTAGCACACAGTCTAATTAGAACAGGAACATATAGTGCTAGCTGATGCTGTACATAGCAAGTGTCCCTCTAGAGATTTTACTCTAGATGCTAGCACATGGTAAAATCTGCACGAAAGCATCTGCTTTTGAAATGCTTTTGAAAGCATTGCTGCTTTTGTAATTGAGGCATGGGGATACATATTACAATCACGCTACACTTTCTGTGTAGGCATGTGTTGTTGTCTTCCATAAATTACTTTGAGTAGAATTGTACTCACAAGTTTTCGTAGAAGATTAGTGATCTCTTTTGTCATTTTTTAGAATCATAGAACCATAGAACCATAGAATATGCTGAGTTGGAAGGGACCCACAAGGATCATCAAAGTCCCAACTCCTGGCCCTGCACAGGACAACCTAAGAATCCTACCATGTGCCTGAGAGCCTTGTGCAAATGTTCCTTGAACTCTGGCAGGCTTTGGGTTGTGACCACTGCCCTGGGGAGCCTGTTCCAGCACCCAATCACCCTCTGGGGGAAGAACCTATTCCTAATATCCAAACTAAACCTCCCCTGACACAACTTCAGGCCATTGCCTCAGGTCCTGTTACTGGTCACCACAGAGAAGAGATCAGTGTCTGCCCCTCTGCTTCTCCTTGTGAGGAAGTTGCAGACCCTGATGAGTTCTGACCTCAGTCTCCTCTTCTCCAGGCTGAACAGACCAAGTGACCTCAGCCACTCCTTGTATGGTTGACATGAAATCTCTACAGTACTATACTTCATCAGAGGTTTTCAGATGCTTCTTTTTTAACAGTAAGGCTTTGGATGGATATGGCATGTTCTTATTGAGGTTGGGAACCAGTAGTGTGGTGTAACTGTTTATTCCAGAGGAGTGGCAGTGATATTTTTTTGGGAGGTTCTTGCTAAAAATTATACAACTACTACACTTGCCTAAGGCAATGCTAAGGTCTTTTTTTTTTTTAATGCTGAGGTGCCTTTATAATGTTTGGTATAGGTGGGAAATGAAGATTGGAGTCCTTTGGAAATTATAGGACTTTCTGTAATAAATTCCTAATTCTAACAAAACTGTTAAAATATTTAGCTCCCACCAAACAAAGTCTCTCAAAGTAGGATGCAGTCTCCATTCCAGAGGTGGAACTAATACAGGGTTTTGCAGAAGTGTTGACTTCTTTGAAAAGCAGCATTGTTTTTCTGGAACCTTATAGCCATGCTTTTGCTTTCTGAAAAAGGAATTCTAAGTGCAAAAATCACTAATACAAAATCTGTCAGATTTGACTTAATGTCTCTCAGATATGCATAAGGAGAGATTTTAGAATATAGACCTTTTGCCTACATACTTGAGTGCTTTTCAGAGCTCTGTTTTTATTATTCTATCCTTTTGGTGTATTTGGATCTTGGATTAAGTGGATTATATGGTCTTTTCATCATTATAGAGAACTGCAAAATTTGAAAATTTGGTTTTGTCCTTGTCTTCTGTGTGGAAGGACAGAATTCCATCTCCTCTTCCTGCTTTTTCCATAAAGGAACTCTCTCTGTATTGATTATTTTGCAAGTCATTTGTCTGTATTTGTTAATTAAAAGAATGATTGCAGAGTTTGGCGATCAAGGCACTCAGCACTGAAAAT